CAGGGCAAAGCGGTATTAACCCCCCCGCGGACGCATCCCCCCCTGGGCCGGAGCCTCCGCAGCCACCCCAGGGCAGCAAATTTCACCCCCTGTGGTAATTAAGGAGTTTTTGCCCCGACTCTGGCAGGGAAAGCTGAAAGTAAATCCCCAACCCCAGCTCAAAATCCCCCGTGCCGGGGGCTGGAGGCACCCCCACTCCCAAGACGGATCACAGATGGGACCCCAAGCCACCCAAAAAAATCGGGGTCTCCCAGCCCCTCTCTTCCCAACTCTGCAGCCCGGGGAAGCAGCCGTTCTCCTCCCCGAGAGCCTCAGATTAACGGCGAGGAGGTGAGGGCGCGGGGGCGAGCAGCTGGGATTGAGGATTTAGGGGATCTTGGGTTCCTCCAGCCAAGCGGGAGCTGCCCCGAGGCTCCCCCCGGGCATCGGGGACAAAAGAAACCTCATTTTTTTCCCCCCCATTTCTTTCCTTACCTTCCCCTCTCGGAGTCCTTCACAACCATAAAACCACTGCTAAGCAACAAGCGTCTGTTGTGCTTCGCTGCCTGACACCGTCTCCTCGACACCAGCAAGGAGGGGGGAACCATAAAACCTCATCACAGCCCCTCCAAGCCCACGCGGGGAGGGGGCCAAAAAAATTCACATTCGGCATCAAAACCATTTTATTATTTGTTTTGAAGTGTTACAGCTTTCACCTGGCTTTGTGCGCGCGCTGCCAGGCACAGTTAAGCTCTGAAACTAAAATGCTTGTCATTCAGCTGGAAACAGAAATAAAAAAAATGCAATGCTCTGAAAAAAAGCAGGACTTTATACATCGAAAGGCCTTAATATAAATAGGTAAGAAAATATTTCTTTGTTTAAAACGGGAACCTCAACCCCAGCTCCGGCAAAGAGACCGACTCCGTTCTGTCCTTCACTGCATATATCGCTTTATAAAATGTCCACAGAAGGAAGTAAAAAATCTTTCTTCAAAATAGAGAAGGAAAAAACAAACTTCCCAGAGCAAGAAATCAGCAATTTCAGCATGAAAACGCAGCGGTCTGGCTCCCCACCTCCCGCCTCACAGAGTTAAGTGCTCAGAAAAAAACTGATGCGATGCTCAGCATCTCGTTCGTTTGGATTTCACAGGCAAGATGTCTCCAGGAGGATGCTCCCCGCCGAGGGAAGGATTTATCCAGCCCAAATATGCAAGGAGAAAGCACAGAAGTCTCTGAGGAGGCTCTAGTGCATAAACCTTCAGTGAAAATTACCTTAATTGCAGCAGCACTGCGAGCAAGAGTCCTCCTGCTGTGAGCACTCGCTCACCCTCTCGTTACTAAGGAGAGGTGAGGAAGCTGATGGCTTTTTTTTGCAAAAAGAGAAGCCTCAGAGGCTTCCTGTGGTCCAGGTAGAAACCAGAAGGCCCCCAAGGCGGAGGGTACTGGTGTGGAGTGTTTTAAGGCACGCGTTCTTTTTCTCTCTGGCACTTCTTCCAGCATTTCGATGCTGAGTGGGAGGCAAGGGAGGAGGCAAAGCCCCTGCTTTGGTCCCGAAGGAATCACGACGATCCCAGCACCCATGTGGGGAAGAGCAGATGAGGGGCCGGGGTCAGAACTGAACCCAGCCTGTGTTCGCCTGAGTCTGGTTAGAAGCCGATCTGGAAAGAGAAAGAAAAAGAATGGGGAAAAAAAGAGGGTTTGGACATTGAAATGGACTGTGGCAGGCAGGGAGGGAGCTGGGGAGCCGCAAACGGGTCCTCCAGGGTCACCCCAAAACGCTCCCCGCTGCACAGAGTGGCCCAGAGCACCGGGGGAAGACGGGGCATACCGCTGGGAGGAAGAGGAAGGCAGAGCCCACGGACCTGCACCGAACTTGAGGAATTTGGAACACATGCCATTAGAGGCGCTTTTAAATCCCAAACGGGTGTTTGGATGGACTGGTGCCCTACCCCAGCAGGGGTTTTCAGCAAAACAAGTAGGATTTAGATCGCCCACGTCACCCACAAACCCCACACGGCCTCACCCTGAAGCTTTGGCAAAGTCTCCCCAGAGGTCGGTGGCAGCGGCAGAGGGAGCAGCAGCGGGCTGCGGCCAGGACAAGAGGGAGTCTGTTGGCAGCCAGGAAAGTCGGGAAGAGAGAAAACAAACACCAGGAGTTATTTCCCACTCTTATTCTCAGACTCCCCCCTCTTGTTTTCCCAACTTTGATGGATAAAACGGAGTCTAAAGAGCTTTACAGTCATCCCTGCATGACCACGGACCTACGATGGGGGTGCCTGGGAGCTGGGCAGGTGTGGAGAGTGAAGTTGGCCGCTCTCCGGAAGGAAAAACCAGAGCAGGAGATTTTCCTCCAGGAGGTGGTGGGAGCAAGCTCAGGCCCCCAGGACCTACGGGACGCGGTCTGGTGTTCCCTGCTGCTCCTTCTTTTTTCTTCATGTTCTGAAAGAAGAGAAGGAAATTTGTGCGGTATCACGTTTAAATCCAGAGCTGGAGCGTGATTTCTCCCAACCACGTCTCGCACAAATCCAAACTGCTTTATTCTGGGGAAAAAAAACAAAAACAAAACACAAACCAAACAATGCTGTGTTGCGACATCCCACTGCTGGTACAGCAAAAGGAGTCAAACCAAGGATGTTTTTTACCCATAAATCCCCACCACAAACCCACAGACCCGGTTCTGTAACCAGGAAGTGTAACACAACCCCTCTACAAATCACTGCACGAAGCGTTATCATGAAGGGCTCTGCTCTGGGCCTCCTCTTGCACGGGGATTTCCGGGCAAAGCTGCTGCTTCCTCTTGTGCCACCCAAGGGAAAGGCTGGGAATAGATTTAGCTGGAAAAGCCCCTCACCCCAATGTTGAGTTTGATGGTTTGCCCCTCCTTGAAGCCCAGATCCAGTTTCGGTCCCTGATCAGGGTTCTCAGCCTGTCTGGCCAGCTCGCTCTGCTGCCTTACCCATCTGCAGGAATTAAATAAGCAGAAAAGGACACGTCAACAACCAGCCTGAGGCTCTCCTGGACAAATCTTGCCCAAGATCATCCCCTCTGTCTGGCTGCAGCTCTTTAAAGGTGCTGGATGTGATGCGACAGCAATGTGGTACAGGCAGCACCAAGGAAACCATTCCTACCAGCGGCTCTCAGCGCTGGAGCCACACGGATCCTCCAGTCAGCAGCACATCCCATCCTGCCCCAAAGCCCCTCTATCTGCCTCAGGAGCAGCCCCTTACTGGTGGCACATGAAAAGAAGGAAAGCAATTAGGGAATTTGCCCAATTTTGGACTGGGAAGCCCAGTTTGGGACTCCACAGATACCGACTGGGAAATATTTGAGAGAGGGAGAGCTGCCTGCGCAAAGGCTGTGCAGAGAAACAGGCGTTTCCACCTCTTTACACCACGCTTGCCCGCTCAAGCAAGACAGGAGCTCACAGCTTCCTCTTCCCCACCATTTCTAGCAGACATCTGCAAAAAGAGCCAGGCTGAGAGAACAGAGAAAGAGGCAGGAACTCACTTAAAATGGTCTTGGAGAGCCACATTGAAGTCAAAAGCATCCCCTCGGTCAACAAAGCCGACTCCGATGAAAGCACGGCGGCCTGCGGAAGAGTAAGGGTTGGAATTGCAAAGCAGCAGAGAAAGAGGCACAGGATGCCCCACCTCGCACACTCTTGTGCCTGCCGCCTCCTCCAGCTGCAGCTGGGACTCCAGAGACTGAGATACAGGACTGGAGATACCTTTAGCTTGTTGGTTGTACATACAGGCTTAGCAAAACCAGCTTTTAAATTAATATAAGTGAGTCAAAACAGAGGTTGGCATCACGGTGATGATCCTGCATACAGAGGCACCCTCACTCTAATGCTGAGTAGCAAAATTAAACTGGTTTTATCCCTGGTGAAGGACAGAGCGCGGCTGGTGTGTGGGAGTGAGATAATTCCTCCCTTTGCTACTGTACGCCCTTTAGTATTTAGCCCTTGAAAGCAGGAATCCTTCAAAATAAGAGCAGTGAGGGCACTGAAGACTTTCTGAGGTGATTGCCTAAACCCATCCCCCAAGTATCGTGATGTACCGTTCCCGTCTTCAATCCGGATGACGAAATATCTGCTGGAGTCCGTCACACTCTCCACAGCGATGCCAGGGAACTGCTCCACCGGTGCCTGGGCAAAAAGCTCTCCTGAAAAAGAGAAATGGCAGTGAGTTAAGACCAGGGCGTAGCATCTCTGTGTCATCTTCCTCCCCACGAAGTGGCATGGAGCCGTCGCCTTCCCTCCTCCTTACCTGAGGTCTTGTCTTCCAGCTTAATGTATGCAATTTTGCCCTTGGCTGTGATCCGTAGCCTACCGCTCCATGCCGGCTGGGCCAGCCAAGCTCTGGAGAAAGAGGAAACAGCGACGGATGTCTGAACCACTTCTCACATCCCAGACAGCACCACCAACCTATTTTAGTGCCACCATAATGTGTCACAGAGCTCGTCCGCTTGACTCTCCTCGTTAACAGTACCAAAGCAGCACAAGTGAGAACCCACTTCCACCCAAAGCTTGCTGCGGAAGGAAGTAGATTTGTCACGACATCTCTCATTTCACCCCAAACCAGCTGGCCCCCTGCAAAACCAGGCGTCAGGTCTCAGCAGGGCCTGGGTAAGAATTGCACAAGAGGTTTCGCTTCCCTTTCTGCAGGATCTCCAGCTTGAAAGCAGTTTCTTGGAGGTGTTGAGCCGTGATAGCTACAGCCTAGCTCTGCCAGGCCAGCCTTTAGTCCAGGCTAAGGACGGACAGGAGAGGAGCTCCAAAGCAATCGGGGTACGGCGATCCCCCGCTGAGGGTGTCCGGCAGGGATGGGGGACAGAGATACCTCACGAGGGACAGGTCTTGCTGCCCCACAGCGAGGGGCAGGGCCCATACACCTTATGATGAAGGGACCCCACGCACCCCACGGGGAAGCGACAAACCCCACACACCCCCGTGACAGGAGGAGCAGACACCCTGTGGGGAAGGAGGGAGAGGACAGAAGCCATGT